CAAAGTGATAAAATTTGAGTCCTGTATGGAATTTAAAAGACTAATTGGCTTGCCTCAATTCATTTTGGAACGATGATGAGCGCGGATATATTGACTTGCAATAAATAGTTCGCGTATTGAAACAAACTATCAAAGTATTCTTCGAGCAGCAAAGCCGCACTTTATTCAAAAGAAGCTTACTTGCTTGGCTATCACAAGATTTCTGGATCGATGCCAATACAGAGTCACCTTATCTAAAACTGGTCTCAATAAAAAAAAACCGGGTATACATATTCATCACTTTCTTTGAAAGTCGGAACAACAAAATATGCATTACTCGTTAATTATCCTAAATCTGCCACATTTAAAGTCCCCTAGTTTTACAGAAAGTAATCACAGGAAAAAGTTTTTAAATATAGAATTAATGACATCACAATCATCAAACGATATATCAAAAATTGTCAATGAAATATCGAAATTTAGAAAAAAAATCACGCAGATAAAAAACTTCACTACAATCTTCGAAATTCGATAAAAAAACGTATTAGCTGGCTCAAAACAGGTTAAGCTAACAGACTATTATTGATTTTCAAATAAATCAAAAGCGCAAACAAAAAAAATTAAAGAAGCTGTTCAACTGATTTCCAAGCAGAGCAACAAACAAAACGGCACGTTGATCATCATTCAAACTAGGGATTCCGACTTTCGCAGAAAAGATAGAAAGTTTGAACTTGCTGTGGTTTTTTCCTCTAGACAAATTTCGACTTAAGTTCGTGTTACCTAACTGTCAAATTGCTACTAAATTTATCATCTTCAAATTTCCCATTTTGGCCGCGGTCACTAAATTTACCTTATTTTAAATAAAAGAAAAAACATCCTCATATAAAAACTTGAGAAAATTCGAATTTTCATTTTAAAATAAATTAGCATCAAGACGAAGCAGTTTTTCTCCCCAACACGAAATCAAAGTGCTATAGTTTGCGTCTAATGAGACATTGTTAGGAAGAATTATAGCAACCCTGTACTCCCCTCCACCCACATGATCGCATAATCGAATAGGTAAAAACAACTGGAAACTCAACAAAATTTCAATCAGATACTGAGTTGTTAATTTAATTACTTTCAGAAACTAAGTTAGAACCCGGTTTGAATGAAACGAATCAGCAGTTTAGTATAAAACTTGTTGAATGTGAACATGAGAAATGAGGTTCAAATCCCGTATAACTGCGCAAATTTCGACAGTTTAGGGCATGTTCCACTTAGATGTTCAACTTCGACAAAACGAAGCTACCAAATTATAGAAAATGCCATAACTCTCCTGCAAGGATCTTAATTTTGATAGCTCTTCCGGACCAGTCATACAAAACTTCAAAAACCCCACAACTTCAAAAAAAAATGTAAATAAAGTTTCTATGCTGGAGTGATGCTACAACTGATTGAACTCGTAGAACAATAAAGAAAAAAAACATTAACGACAGCAGCTGTCTTCAAAAAAATCCGCAAACAAAAATTTAAAATTAAACTGAAATTAAACAGGAATTTTTCTCATTCAGTGGAAAATACTATTGAAATCGAACAATAATAAAAAAACAAAAAAAAAGACAAGACCTACTCGCTCGCTTCACTCGCACAAAGTTTAGAATGATTTCTGAAAATTGTTTTGCCGCTTTTTGGCGCTAACGCTATACTAGAACAAGACTGCTCGTATCAGGGCAAAGCCTTGATTATTCTGACTGCCTGTTAATTGGTCTCGAATCGTATATGATAATTGGTATATGAAAAATTGACAAACTACAAACTTTTGACTGATAATATCAAAGTGATAAAATTTGAGTCCTGTATGGAATTTAAAAGACTAATTAGCTTGCCTCAATTCATTTTGGAACGATGATGAGCGCGGATATATTGACTTGCAATAAATAGTTCGCGTATTGAAACAAACTATCAAAGTATTCTTCGAGCAGCAAAGCCGCACTTTATTCAAAAGAAGCTTACTTGCTTGGCTATCACAAGATTTCTGGATCGATGCCAATACAGAGTCACCTTATCTAAAACTGGTCTCAATAAAAAAAAAACCGGGTATACATATTCATCACTTTCTTTGAAAGTCGGAACAACAAAATATGCATTACTCGTTAATTATCCTAAATCTGCCACATTTAAAGTCCCCTAGTTTTACAGAAAGTAATCACAGGAAAAAGTTTTTAAATATAGAATTAATGACATCACAATCATCAAACGATATATCAAAAATTGTCAATGAAATATCGAAATTTAGAAAAAAAATCACGCAGATAAAAAACTTCACTACAATCTTCGAAATTCGATAAAAAAACGTATTAGCTGGCTCAAAACAGGTTAAGCTAACAGACTATTATTGATTTTCAAATAAATCAAAAGCGCAAACAAAAAAAAATAAAGAAGCTGTTCAACTGATTTCCAAGCAGAGCAACAAACAAAACGGCACGTTGATCATCATTCAAACTAGGGATTCCGACTTTCGCAGAAAAGATAGAAAGTTTGAACTTGCTGTGGTTTTTTCCTCTAGACAAATTTCGACTTAAGTTCGTGTTACCTAACTGTCAAATTGCTACTAAATTTATCATCTTCAAATTTCCCATTTTGGCCGCGGTCACTAAATTTACCTTATTTTAAATAAAAGAAAAATCATCCTCATATAAAAACTTGAGAAAATTCGAATTTTCATTTTAAAATAAATTAGCATCAAGACGAAGCAGTTTTTCTCCCCAACACGAAATCAAAGTGCTATAGTTTGCGTCTAATGAGACATTGTTAGGAAGAATTATAGCAACCCTGTACTCCCCTCCACCCACATGATCGCATAATCGAATAGGTAAAAACAACTGGAAACTCAACAAAATTTCAATCAGATACTGAGTTGTTAATTTAATTACTTTCAGAAACTAAGTTAGAACCCGGTTTGAATGAAACGAATCAGCAGTTTAGTATAAAACTTGTTGAATGTGAACATGAGAAATGAGGTTCAAATCCCGTATAACTGCGCAAATTTCGACAGTTTAGGGCATGTTCCACTTAGATGTTCAACTTCGACAAAACGAAGCTACCAAATTATAGAAAATGCCATAACTCTCCTGCAAGGATCTTAATTTTGATAGCTCTTCCGGACCAGTCATACAAAACTTCAAAAACCCCACAACTTCAAAAAAAAATCTGAATAAGGTTTTTTTATGCTGGAGTGATGCTAAAACTGATTGAACTCGTAGAACAATTGAAAAAAATATAATCGACAGCAGCTGTCTTCAAAAAATCTGGAAACGGAAATTTAAAATTAAACAGAAATTTTTCTCATTCAGTGAAAAATACTATTGAAATTAAACAATAAAAATAAAATTGAAAAATTTAGGAAGCGCTAAATGAAGCATTCAAGATAAGTTTTCCTGGAACTCAAGTATATTAAAATACTTGTCTGAAAAAGTTGTCAAAAAATCAAATATATCAAATATTGTCAAAAATTGCTACATAAAACATCGAAGCTTAAGAAAAACTACGCAGATCAAAAAAATTCCATTACGTTCTTCAAAATTCGATATATAAACGTATTAGCTTGCTCAAAACAGATTAAGCTAACGTAGACTATTATTGATTTTCAAACAAATCAAAAGCTCGAACAAAAAAATGTTTAAAAAACTGTTCAACTGATTTCCATGTGAAGCAACAAATTAAACGGCACGTTGATCATTATTCAAACTAGGGATTCGACTTTCGCAGAAAAGATAGAAAGTTTGAACTTGCTGTGGTTTTTTCCTCTAGACAGATTTCGACTTGAAAAACTTTTCTAAACAAAATTTGTGACAGTAGCTGAAAGATATTGATGCGGGGAAAATGGGGGTTTAATAACACACTGAAATTGATTTGCACAAAAACTCCATTTTTCGATTACATAGAGCGTAGGCGACAAAGTAAGCCGGCTCAACAACCATTCCAAATCGAATGGAGGAAGCTCCTTGATCCTTTATAAGTCGCTTCTGTCAGTGGAAGACTTTCATTAAAAAAAATATCAATTTTCAGTTTTTTGTTTGAACACTCTATCAATTCTTTGCCAGACACTGCTTAAACATATAAGAGGGTACTAGGAAGTTCAAGGGCTTCACTTTGACACGAGCACATTCTTTAGAGACTTTTAGCGACGGAAAAATGACGTTTCAGTATAACACAAACCTATGTTTACGCTTAATTTGTTTTAAAAAAAACTATCGGAAGTCGTATAAACACTTTCAAATGCACTGGTGATTTCTTTATACACTTTTACACAAAAAAGGAAGCAAAGTGTTTGGTTCCAATGGGTGAGAGAAAGGTAAGTTCTCCATGGAAAATAAAATTGAAAAGCTAACATGAGATGCCAAACTGCCCTTAAAAATTGTTCAAGATTAAAATCTCTTTATCTTTATGCAAAAAAAACTAAAAGAAATCTACGAGACCTGATTAAAAGTCTAAACTTAGTTCAGTAACACTTATAAACTACCCTTTCCCCAATTGACATGGTCAGCAAAGCCCCCATTAGAATTGGTTTTGAGGGTGTTACAATTACACTTCACCCATTTGAATTAATTTCGGAGTGTCATAAAAGCTTTTTTCATAACATGTGTTTTGTGTCAAAGACCGCTTAGACTCACTGAATTTTACTACCCCAAAGAAATTTAATTTTTAAAATATATTTTTTTACTACCCCAAAGAAATTTAATTTTTAAAATACATTTTTTGACTAATCCGAAGTTGAACAAAAAAAATCCGCGGGTCGATGTTGTAGCCAATTAAATCACGTTGTAGCATCGTAGAGCCTCTATTGTCATTACTCGTTATTAATTTTGACCTTAAAACGTTTTACTTTAAAATGATCATTGTCCCATTTCACCTCATAGAAGATTGCTTTTCATATACAACGTTATACATATACTGGTTACCACCAAAAATTGATATGCATCATATGATATTCTATCACTTAAACGTCTTTTAAAAAGTAGCCGAAATCATGCACTAACCACTGGTGAGGAATGGCTTGACGATCATGTCCCGGATGACTCGGAGGTGGGCGAAGAAATTGCGTTCGTTGAAGGCCCACTTGAGGAGGAGGGAGGTCTGGTTGCGGGGCTGAGTCATCACTCGGCACACCATGGACTGATCCAAACTGCCACACCACACCTCCACCCCACTGCTCATGCTCTATTTCCGAACATTTACAGTATACATGAGGAAAAGTGTCCATGAACTCACGGAAACCAAAATTTTCGTTAAAAATTTTTTGAAAACCGAGTCAAAAAAAAATAATTATCTGAAAGCTATTTCAATTTCAGTTATGATTGACACTTTTTTCAAAAGTCAATGATGTTGCACCCAATTAGAAATAAGTACTTCATTCGGATCTTCCAGGGAGAAAAATAAAAAAGGGATGGTCCGTCCATTTGGCAGAATGGTCCAAGAAAACAACGCTTACGTTAATATTTACAGAATATGAACTATAAAAATGAAAACGCTACTAGTAAACTAGAGGCGGCAGCGCTTCGAGTTATCATATGGCATGGTGTTCCCATTAAAAAGGTCTAACCTCTAGCTTGGCAAGCACTACTCACGTATCCCCCTATTCGTTATTGATTTCTTACAGCTCTTAGACCCGTTCTATTCTTAAAACATTCTTGTTTTAGACAGGCTTCCACCAAAGATAAAAGTTAGTTCCGCCTATCGGAAGACGCCTCCTTGGCAAACATTCCTCAGTCAAAAAACACTTCGTTTAAATATTCTTGAAAAACAAAAACTTAGCAAATAATCACAGTATGTACACTTAAAAATCACAGATCCAAGAAGCAGCTTCGCATCACTCGCCAAACACAGCTCAGAAACTTTCCATTCACAAAAAAAACAATATGCTGCTCAGTTAGCTGGGGTTTAGAGATTATAAGGACGAAAAGCAAATTTAAAAAGTTGAGGAAACCCAGATTGAAGTTTACAAGTAAATGAGATTTTAACACTGGCTAACCGGCTCCTGAACCTTTTAGCACTGGCTACCAGCATAGAGAGGCAGATCCAAGATAATGGGGAGCAGATTTTTAAAAAATGCCAAATAAATCTGCGCAACCGGCGACTTGTCACAAAAAACGCCGAAATTTTAAGGTTTACCGGCAAAAATGGATGTCTCAAAAAGTACAAAAAGGGCCCTTTGGGCGATCAAGGGGTCAAATACTTGAGGACGGACGTGAACTTTTTTACTTCAAGTCGAACAATCCTCCTTTGATTGTGTTTCATATGCATATAAGGTTGTTCATCCGAACAGAAACAAAACTTCAAAGACAAAAATTATCGGCCCTGCTTTTAAAGGCCGATGATACTTGAGTACTGACAGAAGCGGTAAGAAGACAAAGATGGTGATATTGATATACCTTTGCAAACCACGTGTAAGACTTCGGACTCCTAGCACACTCCACTCCCGCAGTCGTGGAATCCCCGTCTGGGGTCCCATTTGCTCCCGAATATGCAGACGATCCCAGAAGGTTCTCAGTAGAGGCAGGATCATTGATCACCAGAGTCACATAAGGACTCTCGGCTTCCTCTGGCAAACTGGAAAACAAAACCACATCTTGAAATAACGTAACCTGACATTGGCACCACTTTTGAGAAGTTTTAAAAAACTTCATTTCATTCAACACAGGCGAACCTGTGCTTCGCAAGAGTTTCAATACAACAATGAACGAAACTGTGTTCAAAATCATCTTTTTCAAAATTTGAACTAAAACATCTGAACACCACGTAAAATTTCGCAAAATAATATAACCAACTCGTTGTGCACAACAGATGACCAGTGGTAAAAACGAAAGAAGGCAAAACGCAAAAAACGCCATCGAGTATGATATCCCCTTGCGTCATCAGCTGGTTTTTTGAAATGTATAACTTATGAACTTTGAGTAAATTTATGCCTTGATGTCCCCAAATTTCCGATTGGTTTCAAGTCCCGTCCCACACCAATCGTACAGCCAGTTGACGAAACTAGTAAAGGCATGAGGTTGGGAATTTTAAAATCTTGAGTTCGATAACCGCAGTCTCTATCAGCGCCTCTATCAGATCACATGAAAAAAAAACTCAACAACAAAATGACTTCTTGAGACAAAGCCACCAATATTAGAAATATGAAGCTTTTCACTCTGGAAACATTGCCTTTTGAATAAGAAAAAAATGAAAAATGAAAGAATTGAGTATGAAGTATAAGTAAAAATTAGAAACCAAAAAGCTGACATTATTTGAAAAAAAAAGCGTTACGTTATTCATTACTCGGTAAGGGATAAACTTATCGGTAAGGACAGGGGCGGATCTAGGATTTACTCGAGGGGGGCGCGGGGGGAGTTACGGCGGATTTTCAAAATTTTTTGAAAAAAAAAACAGGTCAAAAAAGCCGTTTTTGGGCACTTTTTGGAAAAAATTGACAAAAAATTGCGTTTTTTGGCGCGCGCGTTCCCCCTCAAAGTTACTATATATTGTAAAAAGTACCAAGGGGGACACTTTGGGTCAGCAGGGGGTCGAATCCCTGAACTAGTAGAACCTAATTTGATCGTTTTCTCACATTAAATTCATTCCATTCTATTTTTTAACATCCGACATATTCCGCTGTTCGAGTTCTTTCACTAAACTATTTTAAAAACGGTTTTAATGATTATTCATCAGTCACTATGCCATATTGTGGTTTCATACTTTGAACTGTTTTTTTTGGAATCCAAGATATTCGGAACAATTTGATTCACTCGGTTTATTATTCAACAAACGAATTAGACAAAGCAAGTTTTTTCAAGCTATTACGATAAAAAATTTTACATAGAGGCAAAGCAGAGCGTCGCACCACTTGCGATACAGTTGGGAAAAAAATTGGAACTGTAAGAAAAATCTAAATGTAGCAAAAAGAATAAAGCTAGTTTTGGACAAAAAAATGCCATGGCAAAAGAATGAAATAAGGACTGGTAGAAAACTTAGCAAGCGGTAGAAAAAATCCAAAATTGGCGCATCGTAGAATTTTTTTTGCTCTGCGCAATTTTTTGTTATTGCGTTTAGGGTTTTGGTTTATTTCTTCCATTTACAAAGTCAATGTTACTTAAATTATAAACAGCAGAAATAAACCAAAACACTAAACGCAACAACAAAAAATTGCGCAGAGCAAAAAAAATCTACGATGCGACAACTAAGCCGACAAAACATAAGCAGACACATAAAAAGCCAACAATTTTTGCAAAATATTTCGCGTTTGAAAAAAATAGGTCTGTCAGATATGTATAAATCTCAATCCTATGGTAGGAGGACACAGTCAGGGTACTCCCAGGGGTTGCGAAACTATCCCCGAAATATGACTGCACAATTTTTTTTTAGTTTATACATAAGACGTTTTTAAATGATGTTGTCATGATTCATAAATTCTGTGAACAAACTTACTAACTGGAAAAAGTCTAGTACCGGTTGCAAAACACTGGCTATCGCAAGCGTAAAAAGCAATATTAGTACAGACAGCACATTAAACATGTAGAAATGGATACATTTTAGTTTCACTGTTATTTCCCTTCATCCAAAAACCAGCACCAATTGATTAATGGCTAAAAATATAAATTGCAAAATTGTTTTACTTACGGGATCTGCAAATAAACAACATCTCATTACAATTTTCATGCAATGCTTCTTCGACGACACATGAAATCATGATATTTAGATCAATAGTAACACCAAAGTCGACAGCCAGCAATTTCTGTTTCAAAATATCCAATTTGAATTTCGATAATCAAGGGACGTGCCTTCAACAAGGATGCAAAAAAACATTCATGAACAAATCTAAAAAGTGCGCTTTGACAGATGACGGAAAACACACGAAAAATTCCGTTGACTCCTGGTGATTCAAGAAAAATTATTCTGACCTGCCGAGTAATCCGAGGTACATAATCTGGGTGTCCCAGGGATTCAATTCTGACATAGGCGAGGAGTCTGCTGAGGAGTTGGCGGGAGCCTTCTTGGAAGAGGCAACGTTGTCGCATATGATCACAGTGCATTTATTGCCCCCTCCCACGTCCCAGCCTACAATACCTTTGCCATCCTCGTCCTTAAGGAGCTCTGGGCTGGGGAGGAATTTGGTCGCAGTGTGTCCCAATTGCCCGAATTCATTGGAGCCGAAGCCGAGAATCTATTCGAAACAATAGTCTCAGTCTAAGTTTATTCAATAGTCTCAGTCTACGTTTATTCGAGAGACTTTAACGACTTGGCAATCAATCCCCCGTAGGCTGTGTTTTCCGTCCGATTTCAGTTACCTCACGGAAAACTCGAAGGGATTCAGCCGATGACAATTCAGATTCCAAAAAAATAAGAGATTCAGATTCCAAAAAAAAATAAAAATTCTCTCATTCTAAAGAAAAACTGGTCCGAAATTTTCGAGTTTTCCGACTTACTTTCAAAGTGGAAATTTCAGACTGAATTTTCAATCTACTTATTCCTAAATTCTTTAGTTCATTTGCCAGCATTAAATTTTACTGTATTTACCAATTCAGCCTCCTCTCACTAGCTAAAAAAAACAGAAAGCTGAAAAAAGTCTGTCCGTTTTGACAAAACTTGTCCATAAATTGACAAAAGTACAGATATGGAGAAGACAATCAGGTTCAAATTGAACGGTATAAGTATGACATTTGGCCCCTTAAAACATTGATAGGTCCCTCAAAAAAATTTATTACAACTTAGAATCTTCGGAACCTGCATATATTTATTTGTGTATTAAAATTTTTTCAAAAAATTTACGGGACCAATGCTTAATACTCGCAGCTATTGAAAACTTATTTAATACCTGAAAGTGACGAGTAATGAGCACCGAGTGCTTTCCACCGAGACTGATTTTGGTCACATTTCTCGCGCCCAAGGACTTCACCAATGTGGGCGCACTCCTGAAAAAAACTGAAGCTCACTTTTGAAGCAGTATCAAAAGAATCATAAATATTCCAGTTCAATTAAATCATTTAAAAAAGAGATTTTTCAGATTAATATTATTTCATCAAAAATCACTAGTTAGTTTAAATTGCAATCATTAAACATAATTATAAATTCACATTTTCATTCGCAGGTCAATTTGGGTTTTTCCGCAATTGTATTTTGCAGGAATTCGATTTTTGGAATAACTGCACGTAGAATTAAATGATAAGAGGGCTAGTCTCATGTCAGATAATTTCCAATCAATCATCAGCCTTAACACTCTTCGAAACTCTGAAAGATTTCCATGTTTTCTTTACATGCAAATTTTAAAAAATGGTTAAAAAAATGATTCCAGATTGTTTAAAACAAAAATTCTGCTTTTGGGGTCTTTCATTATGCGGAACTTCACTATATGATAGCACTCACCTAGCTTTATTATCTCCCAGTCCTAACTGGAAGTACTCGTTCTCTCCCCACGTGAACACTTCCGTGGATTTGCCAGTCACACGTTGGTAGGACCCTGGATGCTTCGACCCACCTAAGGCCCCTCCCCCTGCCCCACTTCCGCCCATGAAGCCAGAGTCATCCTCGCTCAAGCTGCTCAAACTAGTTCTAAACACAACCCAGTTGTCACTTACTTAATTTACAGTGAGTTATAGTTTTGTTGTTAGATGAAGACTGTGTTGTTTCTCTGGTTAAACATCCTCTAATTGCAGGATTTTTCAAATGATCGTTCCTTTTTTTCATGTTTTGATTTCCACTGAAAAACTTCAACAAACATCAACTTTCCATTTAAAAAAAACAGATGGAAACTCTCTTTTCTAGACTGATTCTAGCCAAAAAAAATTCTTCGAGTGACTCTTTATGATTCTAATTTAACAAATCAATGCTAAAAAAAACAGAGAGGCGAAGCAGAGCTTCGAGCCGCTTGCGATACAACAAAAACAATTTAAAAACGCGATTCAACAAAAACCTTTTAAAAACATAAGAAGTCGAAAACAACAAAAAAATATCGAAACAAAAACTAGTATAAACAAAACTTTCCTATGACTCGATAAAAACAACTAGTGGCCTAACTAAAGCTAGAGGTAATTAATTGATAACTTTTGAATTTGATATGATGATGCGGTATTAAAAATTGTAAGAATTTGGAATTTTCCCAACGACGTAACAATTCTCGTCCAAAAATTGAGGAGTCGCCGCATCTGCAGGAAAATTTCTCGGAACCAGCTATGTTGATGGAACCCTTCATCTAAGATTTGATAGGGTAGTTTTTCAGAAATGTCAAAAGGTTTCGTTAGAAAATTGTAAAAAACGGTCACAATTTCAAAAACTTCTTTTTTCGAAATCTGTATTTTGTTCGCTAAAAGTATACCGAGGCTGCTTCAAAAGATTCCCAAAACCGGGTTTCTCGATTGACCGCTTAACCTGAGAATTGGCAGGGTAGTTTTCGAAAGTCAAAAAAGTTTTCTAAAAAACAGTCAAATTTCAAAACTCTGACTTTTTGGTGTCAATTTATTTTTCCTAAATGATAATGGGCAGAATCGAATCTAGAAACTTAGATTTGTGAGTATAATTTTTGAGAAAATCAAACTTTCAAAAATCGCATTAAAAACAAATATTGACTTTTCGGAGAATCATAAATTTTTTGTAACAAAAATTGGGGGTAGCCGTATATGCAGAGGAGATTCACGCAATCTGTTTTTCGATTCAATCCAAAACTCAAATATGGGAGGCTAGTTCGAGGAAAATCAAGACCTTTTCCGAGGGCCACAATTTCGTGTCAAAAAAATTGGGCGTCGTCGCGTATGCAAAGAAACTTTCCATAACTCATTTTTGTGATTGAACCCAAAATCTATGACATGGAAAACGAGTTTTTAATAGAAAAATCAAAGATATTAAAAACGGTCAAAATCAAAAATTTTACTTCCGAGAACGATTACTTTTTGTGAAAAAAAATTATGCGTGGCCGCTAATGCAGTGGAGTTTAAGTGGTGGATCTTTAGCTCTGCCCTTTATCTCCATTAAACCCACTATAAAATTTGCGAGGGTAGTTTTTGAGAAACCGAAAAGAATTTAAAAAATCAAATAATCGCCCAAAGAATTTTTCGAAGACTGTAGACAGAGGGGTTAAGTAAAAAGAGACTAGAGGGTAGGAAGGCACACAGGGGAGTGAACGGTCTTTCCATTCAGATACCATCTTTTTAAAAATCGGTAGAATAATTTTGAGCAGACAAACGAAAGCCGGCGAAACTTGAACAAACAGACGAAAATCTGAAAAATCATTTTGACCGGAATAAGATTTTCAATTGCACACATGCTGAAAAAAAAAATGTCCGACTGGGACTCGAACCACAGACCTCAAAGGCGACGTCCTTGCCTCTTGGCCAAAGGGGAATAAATCTCGAAGTTAACATTCAACCGTGAATAAAGTTGAAAAATTGTAAGAGAAGATTTTTAAGGGGACAAAAGTCTAGTTCCCGATTACAAGTTGTCAAAAATTATATCCAGCAACATCAATTCACAGTCTTCTTGAAAAATGTCTGCTTCGAGTATTTGAGACGACATTAAAACTAAGCAAACTACCATCGAAACGAGAATAAACCATTGCAAAACTAAAATTTAAATAGATAAGGTCAACCATTTCAAGCCAGCACCTCAAACTTCAACAAAAATCTTTACTGGAAAGAATTCTGCCACCGAAAATTACCGAAAATTCTGCCACCGAAAGAACTCTGCCACCGAAAATTACTAAAATAGCGTATCCAGTGAAAGCATCAAAACAAAAACAGAGGTGGAGGTACGTGTTTAATATTGAATGGGTTTGCTTTACTAATGCGGCACGAAAAATTTGATTTCAAAAATCGGACTTGGCCTAAAACCTTAGTTGTTTCTCTACTGAAATAAGTGAGAAGACTAAGAAATTTTGAGATTATCCATTTTCGCAAGAAGATAAAAAAATTTTTACAAAAAAATTAAGGAATCGCTGCTCCTGCAGGAACAATTATCGCAACCCGTTCTTTCAATGGAACTTTTCATCTCAGATTTGATTGTGTAACTTTTAAGAAAATTCTAAAATTTCTAAAACTAAAAACAAATGGTCGAAGGTTCTAGAAAATGTTCAAAAGACTTTCTAGAATCCATAACATTTTTCTGCAAAAAGCAGTTTATGGCCTCTTAAGCACAAAAAAATTCAATGCCGGCTTTCTCGATTGAAAACAACCTGAGAATCGGCCCGGTAGTTTTCGCGTAAAGTCAATTAGTTAAACGCCATAACTTTTTTTTTCTCAATCAAACTGGGCATAGCCAATTCTTAACGTAAGCTTTCAAAAACATTTGTTTAAATTAAACCTTTGATATCAGATTTGGTAGGATAGCTTGCGAGAAAAGTACGAAAAACAGAAAACAAAACGGAGAAAAGTCCAAAAAACGGTCAACATTAAAAAAAATTGACATTTCCGAGAATCATAGCTTTTTAAGTAGAAAAATAGGGCTTAGCCACCTATGCAGAAAGAATTTACGCAACCTATGATTTCGACTGAACCCAAAATTTCAGATTTGGTAGGGTAGTTTTCGAGACAAAAATTACCAAAACACTTTCGTAAAAACAGTCCAAAAATAAAAATCTTCGAGGGTCATAACTTTTGGTATCAGAAAAATTGGGGTGAATTCGCATAAAAAAACGATCCCAGATTCTTAGATATGACAGGGATATTTTCGAGATTATTCGAAAAGTTGAAAAAACGTCGAAAAAAAACAAACAAAACTGACTTTTCCGAGGGTGATAACTTTTTGTGCAAAAAAAAATTGCGAGTGACCGCTAATGCATGGGAGCTACTCAGTTCCCGTCAGCTCTACTGAACCCACAACATCATATTTACGAGGTTAGTTTTCGAGAAAAATCGAAAAGATTCACAAAACGGTCAAAATCAAAAATTTGACTATTCCGAGGGCCATAACATTATGCGCAAAAAAATTCGGTCGTAGCCACTTATGCAGGGGAGCTTTTCCAAACAGTTCAGTTCATTGAAACCAAAAACTCATATTTGAGATTACCCCCTCTCAAATATGAGTTTTTTTCTGAAAATCAGCATAAGTTTCTGAGAAAAACTAAAATTTTTGCAAAAAGTGGAAAGTAATTTGCAAAACAAAAGAAATGAAATCGATTGGTAAATATACAACGAACTTGAAAAGTGCGGAGGGGAGTGCTAAAATTGGGTTTATCTAGAAGCGGCGAAATATCAGATCATAAAGCCAATGAAAAATAGGCCGAAATAATTTTGGCCAAGGAATTTTCTTATAGCGAAACAACAACAAAAACAAAGAAGGAAATACGAAGTCAAGGTAAAATAACAAAACGTATGCGTAAATCATACTTTAAAAACAAAATTGAAGAAAAATGCGCGAATAAAAAAAACAATTCCAAGATGTGACAACTAAGCCAACAGATAAGCAGGTCCTGGTCAGATTCGAACGCATGACCATTGCCGTCTTCGCTATTTTCGTCCTTAATTGTCCGGGAACGCTAAGAAATTTAAATACATTAAGAAACAAGGAAGAGAAGAGCCCAGACGTCCAGATGAGTCCAGTGGCCAAAGCTATTTACGGGAAAAAAGGTCTAGTGTCCAGTACCCGGTTCCAGTGTTTACGGGATGAGTCCAGATGAGTCCAGTGGACAAAGTTGTTTACGGGAAAAACCCAGTGTCTAGTACCCGATTGCAATACCCTTGCTGATAGCAAGTGTAATAAGTTTAATCGAAAAGTCTCAGGGTGATAAAAACCACAGATAAGAGTCCTAACTTTCTTAATCCTTTCCTTGTTAGACTGGACACTCTATTGGTCACTCTGATGAATGAACTCCCCGTATTGGACAGAAACTCTGCCGTGTCCTGGGCGATGGAACCCGACTTCACGAACGGATTCTTCAGTTTCCTCCTCGTGGAACCCTTGGGCGGATGTGAAGCCACAGCCGAGTTCTGAATGTTTCCAACAATCGCACTCGTGTCCTGCTCGGCCAGCTGACTGTCGCTCCGCTTCGTGCTTCCGGAGTGCTCGAAACGGGCATTGATGTCTTCCAAAAGCGACTTGGCTCTGTCTTTTGATTCGTTTATGAGAATACTTTGGGTTCTGGACCTGTCAGCAGGTCTGCCTCCTGACGTATAATCTCGCCATTGCGCATTGACATCCATCTGCGCTTCTTTGTGTAAAAAATTTCGAATAGTATCAGGGTTCAAGTCGAATCTTCTAGCTGTGGATTTGTATCCATCACAATCGACATTTTCCGACAAGCTAGAAAACTTCTTACCAATATGGTCCAACTCTTCTTCCGAGCTCGAATTTTGAATGTTTTTACCATCTAATCCTGTTTCCGAATTTCTTCTAGAACTTTCCAAACTAGTCTTGTCCGGCGATCCCAACGCCAAAATTCCAGTGTTACCCAGTGAAAAAACACCCTCGTCGGCACAATCTTCAAGCACTGATGAGGTGTTTAGAGACAAAACATTGTGATTACAATGGGGACAACTGCCAGCAACCAGAGAGTAGCTTTGGCCAGAGGAGTCGGAGACACTTGATCTGGAAGGTGAAGGCTGAATCACAGACGAAGGCCGCGATCCAGACTCAGATCCAACTGCTGAAGACGCCTGCTTGCTCTGAAAACCACAAAAAAAACACTGCTCAAAGTCAAGCTCCTGTTTCGAGTGATCAATTTTTACTTGCATTTTATTGCTCTGGAAAACTATGGCTTTACAGACCTCAGCTTTTATTTCGAGCAACATCTTCTCAAATAAAATATCAGACTCACCAATAAATATCTATTATCGCTTTGGTATCATTTAAACATCGCATCAGTTTTATTTCGTAAATTTTCTTATTGTATCAGATGCTTTTCGTTGTTTTTTACACTTTCAAGACTGCCAAAAATAAATGTTACCTTTTCACATAGAGCTGCACTATGATTTGCGCCAGCTGCAACTGCTACTATTTTCGCTCCGACTAACTCCTCGACGACCTTAGGCTGACAGCTGTTTGTTCTCAGTCCATTTTGGGGCGAACTTCCCCAGCCCCATAATTTTGAGTCTTCGCCAATCGCCAACGTGTGCTTATCTCCCGCCACTACCTCTATTATCTTCGGGTCGTCGTCCGGTGGAACGACGCCTTTACATTTTATGCACACCAAACCTGGATCTGTGAACTTGACAAAAGTCGGCGCCTGGACATCTTTGTCAAAAACTCCTGTGCCACATTGGCCAAATTCGGAACTACCCCAGGTGAATAACTCGCCGTATACAGTACACGCAGTGCTATGAACTCCACCACATGCTATTGACGAAATGCCCTTCCCGAGAAGAGCCGTGACAAGCATAGGCTCTACCGCCACTTCACACCTCTCGATTCCGAGTTGTCGTCGATTGTTGGAGCCGACAGCGTACACCTCCTGGTCCGATGTCAAAAACATAACATGCCGTGCACCTATTGAGACTTTGAGTACATTTTTACTCTCTAGAATTCGGTAAGATTTTGGCGAAGTGTTCTCGCCGTATCCCTTCCATAGTACTAATTGTTTCTTCCGATCGGACGCAGAACTCATCTGAAAAAGCCCGAAAAATATCACCTAACAAACCCTGATTGTATGTTTCAGACAACACAAACTACTTGTATGACAGCCCATCCGGATTTTCAGGTGCTGTTATTTTTCATCAATACGAGGTTTTGTATGAGCTGCCGCATTATGCACTTTATGACTCATTTACAATCTGACGCACCAGAGAGTTATTAACGCCTGAACTCATAATTACGCCTTAATTCATAGATAGATCTATAACTTTTGCTAAGAGTGTCGAGGGACTTCCAAAAGATACCCTTAAGCTCCAAAACAACCATGTATTGTGATTTTTTCTACGCGATGTCAAACTTCAGACAAAATGGGCCAAAAATTCAGTTTTGCAAAACGTTTAGAACGTTTTGATCATTAAAGTTGTTTGTAAATAAAGCAAAAACCATCCATGTATTCGTTTTTTATTTAATACTTGATGCAATTGATTTATGCTGTCTGAAACGCCTGGTAAATAGAACTTGTCTATTGGATATATTCGTACTTTTTAACAATCTATGTTCTACATTTAGCGATAAATTTAAGTTACTTCATGATACGGCCAGCTAACTATGATTCGAACAACAAAGAATAACGACGATACCACGTCACTGGTTATTGCAATTCATGAAAATTAACTCAAAATTTCATGCTGCCCACAAAAGTTGTATCTTCTCATCCAAAAATGCTTGGGTCAAATATTTACAGAAAAACGAATCCATAATCCATGAGTTTGTAATTGTAAGTTAGTCAAATTCTAAAATCTGCACGATAATTAAGTCACGATGGAGAAGCCAACAGCTGAGAACAGATTGGGAGACATATTTGAGCAGTGCAGCCAGGAGACCAAGTGTCTACAGTGGTTCAAAGTGGTCTTTGTGGGAGATTGTCACGTGGGCAAAACGAGCATCATCAAATCATTCTGCAAAGCCGAATTCAACTCCAAAGTAAGAACAACACAGTTTCAGTCAATACACTTATTTTTCGTCTCTAGTTCCGCTTTCGTCTTCTCCCCCACCCCCCCCCCCCCCCCCCCCGTTTCGTTTTTGAAATACTTCCAAGTCCTGTTCACGTGGTCCAATTTTACACATTATCCACATAATACTGACCTCCGATTCAACCTAGCAATATCAACAATAAAATCGTCAAAACATTAATTAAATCTGGCGGGGAAGCTTGGAATAGTGTGACAACCTAGTAATCACTTGAACCTCAACGTTATCTGAGATAAAGAAAACCTTCAGCTTAAAATGAGCTTCTCGTCGGCAATTCTGTTGAACATACATGTGCAGGAAACTTCCCAGCGAGCAGATCTGTTTTTAGAAATTATGTTTTCACCTTTTTCCTTCGGTCAGCCATTTTATATTTCCATCTCTGCTAAAGCCTCGAGAGTTTTCCTCAAAAGAATTTGATTCCATTTTCATTCCGATAACTCAGTTACTTCATTAAATTTTCAATCCTCAATCAAAAACTGCACGTTTTAATTTGAAAACGCTAGCTCAGGCCCAATTAGCAACTTAATTTCTTAATTCATTTGATACGTTTGAAGTATTAAAACTCGTTATTTTCCCGACTTTCGCAAAGTGAAGGAAAATTTAAGCTCGAGATAATTTTTCTCCGACAAAAGCCGACTTTAACTAGCCATTTTTGACAGAATTTTTTAATATCACCACAAATCCATTGATGTACCCAAGCTCAAAATTTAAAACATATTTCACCTGTAATTTTTTCGCTAAGCTATCGGGATTTAAAAATTGCAAACTTAACTAAAACGCGCTAAATATTTCGTCCTACCAAGAGAAAGCGGTTAAATAAATCATTCCAATTGAACTGAAGCATGCAATTGGGTTTTATTATCACGTAAGCAGACGCAAAACTTCTCACTCTGTTCTGAACATAGCGTGCAGGGGATAAAATGAGAACATTTTTTTCATCAGGACACTAAAAAGCAGTCGGAACAACCAGGGCTTCGCCTTCATAAAAGCAACCTTTTTTAGATTAGGTAACAAAAAAGGTGCTATTACTGCTATTAATACGTGTATAATAGATATGAAACCTTAAAAAATTTCCGCACAATGCTAACCATTTGATAATTTCATTTAAAAAAAACAGTAAATTTTACGCATAGCGAAAACTTAAACACTCATGTCCGTAAAATAAGTTTGAGGCCTAAGTGCGCTTTAAGTAGCATCAGGTCACCAGTAATATCACGAGTAACAAACTTAGTCTCCATAAATAGCCTTGTAAACTACTAGTTGCATAAAAAACAGATTATTTTTCAATTTGAAAATAAAAAGCTAAAGAACCCGTATTTCGGGGAAAAAAACATTTTCGCGAGCAAGATGGGAACGTTTGGTCAGAGAAAAAACTCAAGATTTGCTTTGCATTATCGGAATAACCAGTCCAAAAACGATTCGGTGATGTCTAAAAGTACTTCTTACCAATATGAAAAAACGCAGCTCAAACATGTATATTCAAGATTTCTTTAACATGTTCGTTTGATTAAATAAATAAGCTCAGAACTATCGGAGTCGTTTTAGAGAAAATTGACAAATCTAACCTTTCCAAGACCAGAGAGAATGCGGTGGGGTAAAGTGAGACCAGGGGCGGATTTAGATACTTTGATACTTTTTCAGAAATCCATCTTTGGCCGACCGACCCTAAAATTTTTCTAAAGGCGCCAATATATACTAACTTTGAGGGGGAGCGCGCGCCAAAAAAACGCGATTTTTTTGTCAAATTTTTTCAAAAAGTGCCCAAAATGGCTTTTTTGACTGTTTTTTTTTAAATTTGCCTGCGGCGCAGAAAATTTTGCCAAAATAGGGGAAAAACAGTGCTTTGGGAGAGCTCGAAAAATGAATTTGGTGGACCTAAAAAAAAAGGTCGTCAAAATTTTGGAAAATTTTTTGAAAATCCGCATCCCCCCCTCGAGAAAATCCTAGATCCGCCCCTGAGTGAGATGATCAGATCATGCAAGCAAACAGAGAAGGAGCTGATTTTTCCATTACACTGCTTGGTGTTAATCAACAAAAAAATTCCGAAGTGTCACAAAAAACAATAAAATCAAAATATCAACCCACAAACATCCATAAAACCTGTATTCATCAAAAAGCCTAAATTTTCTGACACTGCTGACATGAGTGAAATTTTTTTTTGTCAGAATGAAAAAATATTTGGATAATTAGCTTGAACTTAAATTCGTTTAACGAAATATCACTGCAAGCAATTCTGGGCAGAGGCTAAGCGGAGCCTGGCACCAACTGCGATACAAGATAAAGATAGCATGGAAAGCTAGCCGAGTTGACCAAAAGCAAACATTCCAGTGATTTCAAGCTGCTAACCTGAAATAGACCTATGTTTCGATTTGATAACGCTTGCTAATCGCAAAAATATCTAACTATCTTTTTGCGTTCCCAGATTTTTTGTCGCATTTTACTGTTGTAATTTCAAAGCTATGTTGAAATAAATTCAGAATCAAAGACAAAACAAATTGAATATTTTGACACAGAGGCGAAGCTGAGCTTCGCACATTTTGCCATACAAATATGAATGACTATGAAATCAAACGGAAAAAAAATTGCAACAAAAGTCCAAAATATCCGAAACAAAAATGCCTGAACCATTAGAAACTTTACAAGGAGCTTTGGGAATGCTATCCAGAAGCCGTTTTTCAAAAAAAAAGTCCTTTCTGCGAAACTAAGCAGACAAAAATAAGCAGACAGACAATATAAATTAGCCAAAGTTTTCTGTTTGCAAGAAAAACAAGTCTCAACTGGAATCTAACTACCAGATTTTGTCGTCTCAAGCATGGAGGTTACAGCAACTTGGAATAAAACTGAACCCTCGAGCTACGGAAACTAAGCCGACAAAAATAAACATACGGACGATAGTCCGAAAGAGCATAAAACTCCGTTTGCAAAAAAAGGGCGCGGCCGGATTCGAACCGAAAGCCGTCTCAGCATTTTTACCGTCTCAAGCAGTTGTTTACTTCTACACCATAAAACCCTTCATGCCGAAAAAAAAACAATCAAAATAAAGCTAAACTTAATAAAAAAAACTTCAAGTCCCTTTTCCCCTCTTTTCGGACGTAATGACGCAATAGGAGGCCGCTAGTCTGTATTAATTAAGCCGAAATTTATAAAGCCAATAGTAACGACGAAACAAAAAGAAAACAAAAGCTATTTTAACCAATCGAGCTGCTAAAATTACAAGCAATGTGAAAAGCAGATTTCGATTCGGCCGGATTTCTAAAATGCTAAAAACAACGGCAGTGGAAATTGTTTACAGCTAAAATAAACGATTCATAGATTTGGCAACTAAGCGGACAAAACATAAGCAGGCAAATAATAGGCCGAGATTTTTTGAACCGGAACATTTACCGTTTGAAAAAAACTGGTCCTGGTCAGATTCGAACCCAGGACCTTTGCCGTCCTAGGCGTACCCGAAATTGGTACCTCTTTGACTCTTTTTATTCAATCAACAATTACGCTGAAACTACATGGTAAATTGAAAGCAAATGATATCAAACGCAGCCTCTTATCTAGACCAACAAAGTTTGAGAAGGATAACATTTCCTAGAAATTGTATGAATGAAAACAATTTGGTTCACAGAGGCGAAGCAGGCAAATAATAGGCCGAAATTTTTTCAAACCGGATTATTTACCGTTTGAATTTAGTCAGACTCGAACCCAGGACATTTGCCGTCCCAGGCGTATTCGTTACCACCAGGCTAAGTGTGCAAGAGACGCTACAAAAATTGAACTCATTATGAACCAAGGTACCACCAGGAGTCCAATTGTGGACAAAGTTGTTTACGGGAAAAAAAAACTAGTACCCGATTGCAATACCCTTGCTATCGCAAAGGTAAAAATTGGTCCAATATCTTTATTTTTTAGCTATAGTTTAACATTTTTAGCCAAGCTCTAACTAATCAAAAATCTAAAATTGAACAAAAACGAATTAGAAGGGCAAAAAATTGACACATAAATACTACAAAAATTAGAGATAGAAGCAAAATTCCCATGGCAAGCGCCTAGACATTCAAACAAAACTGCTGTCCAACAAATTTCACCACTTGCCATATTTCAGTACACGCCCACAGTAGGAGTTGACTATGGCTTCAAAGTGGTGGACAATAGTCTCCGAGTGCACATGTGGGACTTGAGCGGCAACTCCTTCTTCAGGGACACTCGCAATGAACTCTACGAGGACACTGACCTCTGCATACTCGTCTATGACGTCACAAGTCGCCAGTCATTCGAGTCCCTAGAAACTTACTGGCTTCCCGAAATTCGAAAGGTAACATAGCAATTACAATTTATTCTTCAGAAAAATCTCCCAAGTTTCCAGAAAAACCAAGATAGAAATCTAGTGAAACGATATCAACAACTGCTCTACTCCCCCTGTCACAATAAAAAACTTACGATTTTTTTTTTCACGCCGTCACATTAATTTTATTTTTGATGCTGGTAATTGAGCAATTGCCCAAACCCAACAAACTTAGTCTCCATAAATAGCCTTGTAAACTACTAGTTGCATAAAAAAAAACAGATTGTTTTTCAATTTGAAAATAAAAAGCTAAAGAACCCGCATTTCGGGAAAAAAAACATTTTCGCGAGCAAGATGGGAACGCTTGGTCAGAGATAAAACTCATGATTTGCTTTGCATTATCGGAATAACCAGTCCAAAAACGATTCGGTGATGTCTAAAAGTACTTCTTACCAATATGAAAAAACGCAGCTCAAACATGTATATTCAAGATTAAACCACTCACCACTGCATCTTAACTGAGAATCGACTTACTGAATTTCTCTACTCATTTTTGAAGACCCAACACTTGATTCCAGAGCAAAAACATAAAAAATAAAGCTATTGATTGTGCAAGTAGCACATACAATCTGGCGATAAAGTTTTTCACAAACAGTAAAAACTTGCAACCATTTTAAATGATTGAAATGGAACCTGGATCAAAAGAAAATATCATGCTTTGCTTTCGCACGTCTTTTGAATGAGAAATGAATAGGTGCTCGCTTTTTCAAATATCATACTGAAATTGGTTTGTAAAAAATTTCGCTGAAAAAGAAAACCAAATAATTGGAGCGATTGAAAAAGACAACTGTTTAAGTTTGGTGTTTTTGAATGCAAAAAAACGCAGTTCAAAAAATGACAATAATTTATTCTAACTGCGACTACTGTGTTGCTTTAAATTATCCGGACAAAACGCATAGCACATTTAAATTGTGTTTTTCTCAGTCTTTAAGTACAAAACAATTGCTTTCCGTAGCCCACAAGATTAAATTTTTGTACATTTTAGGAAGTCATGAGCTAACAAAATCAATTTTTGGTTAGTTTTCTCGAGACGGCAACTTGGTTGTATGATTTTTTTTCACTCTCCTAGTAATCAAAACCCAGGGTTAACTTGTACCAGTCCATGATTCAGAGCTCCAAGTTTGGGCACAAAATATGACGTTCCAATTGTCCGTAGTTTTCGAGAAATCGCAATTTTTTTTTCAAAATTTTAATATTTTTTTTCTTTTTTTTGGAATTATTAATACACTTAAATTGCGTACAATATTTCCAGCTTCACATTAAGAATAATAGATAGTTCATTGTTTTTGTTTTTTCCCTAAATTAGGAAAAGTTAAAATAGATAACAAGGAAAAAAAATGTTTCCTCTTTTATTGATAGTTTATTTATTGTTTATAAACCAAACATGGGTAGATTCTCTTTCGACATGCTTTTCTGTTAGTAATCCTCTCTATTTTGCGTATGTGTTTATTTTGATTGATGTTACAAATTGAAATATATTCACAATTATAGAGAAATAAATTCTTCTTCTTCTTCAAATTGGGTTGATTTTATGTGAAAAAGGATTAGCACCACAGTTACTTAGATTTTCAGCAGAACTAATATGGTGCAATTGGTTTTCATAAAAAATCAGGACCAAAAATGTACACTAAAATTGATAATTTTTGGTTTTTGTAAGTCAGTCAAAAAATACGCCTAAACTACCGAATAAATTGCCGAGAAAGTTATATAGAAGTGAGCATCTTATGTAGCCCAACCGAGAATATACCCTTCTAAAAAAACTATGCTGCGTAAGAGGCTCACTTTGATTCACTTTTGTCAGTAATTGACTTGATAGTTTTGGAGTAATTTTGATTGACTAAAAAATCAAAAACGATCATATTTTGGGGTAAAATTTTGGGCCCGAATTTCGTAAAACAAATTGCACCATATTAATTCTGCTAAAAATCTAAACAAGTTGGTCTCTAACGTTTTCCCCTCAAGTCAACCCAATTTGAGAAAACGCGTTTTAAATTTTACGTATTGTGCGTTTCGTCGTGAAAATTTGAATCAGCACTGAACCGCCACAAACCCTCAACTTATAGTGAAACCTAAGGATATTAACCAAAAAATAGTTGCGCGAATATTATTTGGTCGAATTTCCGTCGAAACTCGAACTTTTTGGGATATTAGCCAAATAAAACTCGACTGAATTCTGGCTTTATCTAGAACTTTTCGTAAATTCAGCAAAAAAAAGTTGCTCGGATTTTACGAAAACACAACTTTCATTTTTTAGACGCTTACAAAACAAAATTAGGTATAATTACCGAGACAATGAAAAGAACTTTTATACAAAAAGTATTTATTGATTGCCAAACACCAAAATGATACCAAAAAACAAATGCAAAGCATGAAGATCGCTGGAAAAATCAAACTATTGTGGGCTAGTCTCCTGAACAAAACTTGTAAAAAAAAAACGTGTTTAAACTTTTATGTGACCTCCTAGTGCACCTAACTTGTCGCCCATCGCGCATGTGATCAAAGTAACACTCCACAAAAAAATGTTGACTTACTAAAATCTGCAGTGCAATATTCTATGGTTGAATTTTCTGAAAGTTCAATTGATTTAATGCTAGCCTAGCCAAATTTATACTTGCACACGCTCACTGAGAACAGTTCGCTTGCGTTTAACTTTGTTTACGAATGCATATTTTGTACAAGGTCATGAAAACTTCAAACCATTGTGTTTTTCACTCTAACTTTGTCTTCGGAATTCATCTTGCATACCGCGTGGACAATTTAGACACATCCTTGATAAAATTGATTCAAAAAGTACTTCGTCAAAAACTATCATGCAGTGTCTCAAAAGATTTTCTGTTAGAGGAAAACAGCCAACATTTAGCTGGAACAGTTGCATTGAACCCAAGAAGACTACAAAAAGAATTGAATTTTTGAAAAAATCAACTTTCGAACAAGAATCAAATTTACTACCTTACAGCTTTTGATTTTCCAGAACCTTTTATGAAAGACCCAAAAATTATGTAAAATTTATCCAATTTACAAAACTGATTCAACAAGTACTTCGTTTAACTCCGCAGGAAATCTGAAAATTAATCCATTTTTGAAATTAGAATTAATTCAAATTTTTTGCGTTATACGAACTTTTTTGTTCGAATGGGTAATTTTCTCGAATGAATTTCAGTTAAAGTTTTTTTAAAATCAGATTTACAACCGAGAAATCAAATTCGATCGTAGGAAAGCATATTCACACAGAGGTGAAGCAGAGCTTCGTACCACGGGGGATTGAAAAATGAATGACTCTCACTACTTGCAGATGAATGAACCAACAAAGAAAATGGAGCTAAATTAAAAGAGAAATCAAAACTCAAACCGTGAAAACTTAAGTTTTAGCCAGAACAATTTTTTCTTTCTCCAAAAAAAAAATAATTACCAAGACCTATGTAAGAGTAATCACTATGCTCATGACTAATAAAAAAAATGAAAAAAAACAGGGCAATAGGCAGTTAGAAAAGTGAATATATGTAACAAAATCAACTGTCGACTTTGGAAACAAAAATATATCGCTTAAAGCAATACAAATTTCAATAATTTTCTAGCTTCTTCCTATGAAATTAACTCATTTTGAGAATACAGATGGTGTCATATTTTAAAGATAAAATCTACTTTCAAAATCACTTCTTTTGATTACTTCTAAATCACGTGTTTTAGTATGACATCGGAGATGCAATGATAGCGTGCGTGGGCAACAAGCGAGACAAGCTAGAAAGATTAGACTCGCCTTTAGACCAGGTGAAACTATCAGATGCTGAAACATGGTGTTTGAAGAGGGGATCAATCAGACATACCCAAGTCAGTGCTGCCACTGGTGACAACATACAGTTTGCTATGAGCGAGTTCATTAAATTACGCCTTAAAACAATTAATACAAAACTTAGTTTCAACCAGTGATGCGCAGTCGAAAACATTCTTCCAACATTACCCAAAGAAATTTATATTTAAAAATTCACCAATTTTTATTTATACTTTTATTGCGAGCAAAATACACCTTCATTCCGGTAATATCTACACACAAATTAAGTCTTCAATAGTCGACATTTACTTGGGCCCTTGCACTCATGCAATGATTTCACAGCAATCGATACAAACAACACACAAAATATTGAAATGAGTTACTTTGAACACGTTACAGGACTACGACAAATTAGCAATCGTCATCTAAAACGTTGTGGTTATAATAATTGTCATATCGGTACAATTGTACCTTGATCACAACAATACATCCAGCTGCTATAGGACAGAGTTACAAAACGTACCTACCAGTAATGACTAACCTTTCCAATGCATTTTCCAGTCGATCATCTGACGTCAGCTTTTTTGATGGTTTGAATGATTCAATAAACGATGAATTTATGAAGTTGCGAAATGATTATCGTGCAATAAGCAATCAATATAAGTTTGCATGCGCGATGAAATTCTTGCAATTAAGAAAACTCCGCCCCTTATCTATGATGGTTCTCTCTTCGAAGAGTATGAGATGAGTATATTTTTATTAGATTGATGCTAATCTCAAGTGTACAGATGAAGGTAGTGAATTCAAAACCTCAATTCAAATGAATTTTCACATTTGAGTTTTTGCAAAAAGCGAAAATACAAGAACTGTCTTATTATAACCTCTCTTGCATTACACTGTCTCTCTGTTCAGTCCTTTCTTTGTCGAAAAAAATTGATTGTCTTTTTGCCTCAATTCCATCGATTTAAATTATTAAACTAAATTATTGGTTCACTAACCCAACCCATTCACACTCATAAAAAATGAAAGATGCAGAAATGTGAAGAAAAAAATCTGGAAAACTGTTTCTCATTGCACAAACTTCCCGAAATGCATCAAGAAAAAACTAATACCTAACAGCAAAAAAATGAATCTGATGCAATCCAGTATCTTGGATTTGTATTGTACTGCTTGGTGTTGCCCTTATTTGCTCAAAGTAAATAAACTTTTACTTAAAGCAAAAAAAATCGATTTCCGTTATTTTTATAATCACATTAAGCTAAACAGAGCCGAAAGATGAATGGTAAAGGGTTAATGAGCTCAAAAAGACCGAAAAGCAAAGACTGATTTTTCTGAATAATAAAAATCTCTAAAATTTAAGAATCATCCTGGTCGACAATTTTTTGGTGAAGCAATTTTCAACGCAGAGGCGAAGCTTCGATTCGCAAATACAAGCGAGAACACAACAAAGAGCACATTTGAATGTTCTAAAAGGGGCAATAAGAAACAGTAAAAATAAGCTTCAATTTAGGGAAAAACAAAGATGTCGTGAAAGAAAATCAACTTCAACACAGAGGCGACGCTAAGCTTCGCACCAATTGTGATACAACACATACAAAGCTTGACCAAAGATCCGACTGGAAGCCGAAATAAAAATCGTTGAAAAAATTTGACAATTGATTTTTAAGTTGGCATCGAAACGAAGCTTACAAAGAAGTAACAAAGCCGATGATACTTGAGCAGACAGACTTTACAATTTTTTTAAATTAAGAAAACTTCAAAACCTCTAAATCCCCTTTGAAACAATAGATTAAAATTTTACCACTGACTCAAAAAGAGGCCGCTAAGCTGATACATTATCAGCCAAACTTTTAAGAGCCGAATGAAGAGAAAAAAAAAGAACAAAAACTGACATACTGAGAATCGGAGTAGCCAAATTTACAAACAACACAGAAAAAACACATTTCAAATAGAACGGGCATTTTAAATGCAGACATGCTCACAATTTGTCTCGTTGGCTGACGAAAAACAGATGAAGGGAGATGAACACCAATTGCAGTCATCCTGTGAACAAAGTTATTTACGTTCACAAACAACGTAAAAAAAATAAATATAAAAATCCAGTACCCGGTTGCAACACCCTTGCTTCTCGTAAGGTTGAAGAATAATTAGCACTGGAAAGCTACCTGAAGTCTAGTCGGGAACTATTGGGATTAATTAGTCGCTTCATTGTTCCGATCATTTGAAAAGTGTGGAAGAACTTTGTGTTCGGGTGTTTTAATTTTTTTCTCATTTTTTTTAATTTTCACGCAAAATCAGGTACCACAAAAAATTATCGGATTGGATCGAGTAAAATATCATATTAAAGCCCTTTCAGTTGTTTTAAAAATTGACAACTAAAACTTCTGAAATCACTTCTAAAAGGGCTTTTCATGACAAAAAAAAATCCAGAAGCTAGAAAATAACTTTGGAGCACGCATTACAAAAGCCAGAAACTAGAAAAAAACGTTGAAACCCACATTACAAAATATTACGAAAAAAACTAGAAAAATTAAATAACAAAAATTAACACAGAGGCAAGTAAACACGTGAAAGACTCCCTGAAAAAACCGAAAAAATTCATCACGACCAATATAAGAATCTGAACTACGTTCATCGACTCTTAATCACAAATTATGAATTCAGAAATTTGAAAGAAAATAGTATGAACAACAAGACAAGGACTGGAGCTTTTAACTTAATCTTTTTGCGTAAAATTTTCTACCCTCCAGATCTTCCTCCATTAGAATACTGCATACTGCAAAGCAGGGAGGGATCAATCAAAAATCTGAGCTTTCGAAAGTTTCAACTATTTTTCCGCTATCAGAATTTTTATCAAGCTACTCGTATCTAACCCATGCTCAAACTAATGGTGAAAAATTAAATGAGAGAATGAGTTCTTCACTTCAAATAAGGATAACATGACACTACCAAAACAAGCCAATATATAACTTAATTTGTTCGATAAGATATGGAATATAAGTGAAGAGAAATTCACAATCAAATTTCAGGAAATTTCAAGCAGACATGTTTGTTGCTACTTGTGACACGTTTTTTATTTGGAATATATATGAAAAGCTAATAAAAAGCAAAGCTATAGAACCATTTTTCTTCCCTTTTTAGAGAATAGCAGCATATACAACTGGACTTTGGAAGAAAAACATTCCTTAACTTTTGCGTCAAGATTCAAGTTTATTTCGAACGAAAAGAGTGAAACCTGAACTTTTGCGTCAAGATTCAAGTTTATTTTGGACAAAAAGAGTGAAGCCTCTCATTTAAAACTACCAAACGGTACATCAACTTCGTTTCCAGATCATCAGGGTGTATGCATGCTGCTCCTTGAGGTTTGTACTTCCATGTTTTCATAATCATTTCTTCAAAATTAATAAATGAAGAATTCAAATTCTGGTCAATTTGCCGCAAGTTACTCCTCATGATTGTCGGCGAAGCGTCCAGTTTAAGACATCCAATTATGAACTTCGGGTCCAACTTCGACAATTGAGACACCAACATTTCTAGCATGAATTCAAAAATGTGCGCCTGGTTGTAAAAATTTGGTTCGAAAGCGCGATGAAGAACAGTCGACACGAGAAGAGAGTCAATATTTCGCAGCATCAAAACTATGTTGAAGTCGTGCTTTGTCGACAGTATCTCGGCTAGGAAACGAACATCTGAAACATTGACAATATTATGATTCATAATCTACCAGTTAAAACAACCTCGACTAGAGAAAACTGAGTCCTCAAAAAAGAAGGCAAAAAGCGATCACAACTCTGTCAGCCTTTATCGAACGAATTTCAAGGAATAGTTGGAATAAAACTCCTCCTGTGGATGGTGGCTTGACAACTTTCGTCAAATTTGCTAACGCGAAAAAATCAGACTACAGAACCACTCGTCAATCTAAATTTTAGAAACCAACTGAGTCATTTCACAATAGATGTCAAAAAAACTAAGAAAAAAAACAAGTAAGCGAAGAGCTTCTACCGGAGAACATAAATTTTGGTTATAATAGATTGGTGTAATAATTTCATCCCTGAGTAAAATTTTTCAAATCATATCTACCAGGGAAGTTGTCGATTCTTGGGTGTCCGCCGTCCGGATAAGACACAGCCGCGTCTAGAAAAATATTACTGTGGTGTCGCATAGAGTTCAGAAACATGATTTCCTGAGTCAGTTTTTGCTGCTTTTCTATCTGGCTGAGAAAAGAAGCGTGTTTGGAGACGTTCTCAGACAGTTTCCTGAAGTCCCAGTTGAAGCCAATGTTTCCGATGAAGTTCGGAATGATGTTCGTAGCCGCTCGACACTTAGTAATCTTGAACAGAAAACATCATGTAGGAAGAAACTACAATCAATTTTCAAGCAAAAGAAACCGGTAACAGAAAGGTTATTGCTTTGAGAATTCTGACTTAAACACGTCGAACGAACTCTTTATCAAGAGAAAATTGTCAACATTATGAGAAGCCGCGTATTTTGCATTACGAGAAGCCGCGTATTTTCTGATTGTTTAGTACATAGCATATTATTTTTCCAAAATAAATTGAAAATTTGCAGTTTGAAAAAAAAATATTGTAGCTTGAGAAAAATATTTAGAAGAAAGAAAACTTTAACAAAGCAGGAAAGCAGAAAAATTACATCTACCATTACATTCATAAGTCTCAAATAAAATTTAATTTGAGGAAGATACGTCAAGAAAAACAATTTCCAACATTAAAAATTATTCATGAGGTGATATAACATAAGCCAAAACCAAAAAAGTGGAAAATAAACACAGCCAACAGAAAGTTGCAAAAGTGTCAAACTAGAGAAACCGAGAAGCAACACGACTGACTTTTTGATCAGTTTTCGACCTTCAACTTTTTTGGACTTACAGAATTTTTTTCATTAAACATTTTTTCATAGAACGGAAGCAATTAGATAGAAACTTGGTCAATTTTTTATTCATTTAGCTAGAACTCAAAATCCGAATTCTCAAACTCAAAATCCGTTTTTTAAACTAAGAACCATTCACGTTTTCGCGGCATTTGTACTCTTTTGTAAGTAGAGAGCGTAGTGTACGCTCCTTTTGGCAAACAAACTTAAAATGAATTTAAACATAGAGGCGAAGCGGAGGCTCGCATCACTTGCGATACCACAGAAAAAGCATGGCAAGCTAGCAGACAGGAAAGGAAAAAAGAAGCAACCAAGTCCAAATAAAACTTCAAAGTGGTGTCAGGAATGATGCTCTATTTGTGGAAAAAACGTCCAGAACACATTCGACGACGTTTAATGCAAATTCAAAAACAATTTTTGAGCGAAAAAAAATTGTTGCCATGAAAAACTTTGAACTATAAATTCTATTCGGAGATTTACAACGTTTTGTGCAATCCAGAGGAAAACATACAACTTATGGTTCCCTCCAACGAACCAAAATTAAGTTAGTTAGCCGATAAAATATCAGCCGAAATGATTTAAGCTGGAAAATTTTGTAAGCAAAAAAAATCAAAAGGAAAATATACAAAATCAAGGATAGTAGAATTAAAAACTGCAGAAAAAAATAAAACATAGAGAAGTAACTACAATGCTAGATACGGCATTCTTAAATTGTAAAAACAGCCTCGTATTTCATGAAACTTCATGCTTTGGAAAGTAAGTCGACAAAAAATGAGCAGAGCAAAAAACAAGGTACGGCTGGGATTCAAAACCATGACCCTTGACTGTCAAGGCACGCACTTTACCACAACACCCAATATGAAGGGCTCGGAAGTTACTGAGTCTTCATAACAAAGTAAGGTCAATTTCTTACACATTTGTCAGAAAAGTTGTTAACCGGGAAAATTCTAGTGCTCTGGCAAGTGATAAAAAAATGACAAACAATAATAGTAAAAACTGCAGAACAGAAAATAGCATAATTTTAAGAACATTAAGTCACCTTGTCTTCTGTCACCATTGTGCAGACATCCTTAAAGGTCGAATCAATCAAGTGATGACCAGTGCCTTCCAGCCCCGCAAAGAACAACATCTTCGGCTGTTTGAACACTGACTTCGGCAGATACGTCTTAATCTTCAGTTTCAGTATTTCCTGTCTCAAAATTGTATCTGCAGATGGCACTGTTATCTTCCTCACACGATCTCCAGGCAGTCTTTTGCACTCGGAGAAGTCAAGCTCTGCGTACGAACTGTCCTTCGGAACATTCGGATTGACCAACTGTTCTAGTTCATTTTCAAGCTGAAATATACTTTATACCCAACTTTATACAAAAAATGGGTATAGACCAAAAAAAATTTGATGACCACTTTTCAATTAGTTACTGTTGACAAATTTGGATTGCATACAATTCAAAAATCTAATCAGTGTGAAAATTAAACTATAGTAGTAACACTTCTGCTTTAAAACAAGCTTATAATTTGCTATTAAACATAGCCAACAGAGAGTTGGAAAAGATTCATGAGAGCAAAGAAACTGACTGTTTTTGAAAAAATTTCAACTTCCCAATTTCAAAGAACAAAATATGGCCTTCAGACTCTTTGAATTTCAAGAACAGTTTATGATGGACACTTTCGATAAAATTAACCCAATTTGAGGAAACTGGATCAAAAAGTAAAATTTTTATTTCGCTGGGAATCTGATAAATTCTACTTTCGAAACTAGAAATCAATTTCTTTTTTCGTGACCTTTATATTTTTGCTGTTCGATAGTGGAGTTTGCCTTCCTTTTGGCGATGGAAATACACTGAACTTAAAAATAAAACACAAGTCAAACCGAAACAAAAATCAAGTTTTAGCCTCACCAGGCCTATCTATATAAGAGTATTCACTACGTTCATGGCTCCTAAAACCACATGGTTTTCGAATGGCAATTGCGTTACATCTCCTTCATATTTTATTTTTTTATATATAAGACCATTTAAACAATCATACCTCTTGTTTCTCTTCCACGGATTTCACTTTAGGCCGAGCTGCTTTCTCGTTCTGTTCCGTTTCTTGACCATCGTTTTTCTGTTTCTCGCGTATTAATCTCTCCTCTTTTGACTTCTCTTGTCTTTCTTTCAACAGCTTTGGGGGTTCCTCGACCGCTTCAATTTCATCTTCAACAATCCTGTTTCCGTCTTTTTCTTGTCGCATTTTCTCTTCATTCAAAATCTCTCGTCCATCGATTATGTCATCGCGTTCGTTATTGACAACCGGAGCACTCAAGGCTTCTTTGTTCGAGCTCAAAAGTTGCGTAACAAGAACTCCGATCAGAAAGCAGATTAAGTAAGCCAGCATCTGCTGGCTGTATCGCCTCATGATTCACTCGGCAATTTTGATTTTCGTCGATAATTAAAACTTGGAAATAGTATTCCACAAAAATCTTGACGCTGAACTTAAAAATTGTAAAAAATCGAACTTAGTTCAATCTATCGGACGATCAGCAGAGTTAATTATTGTAAAATTGAGATCTTGGGATGAGAATAAATTCTGATTCAGTCATGGTTAAGAACAGCGGTATATCACAACTGGCATTACTTTCCTCAATGCATTTATCGTTGAAAAAATGTAGAGCATGCATTAATAATTAACAGAAATCGGAAGCTCTAACTCAGCATGCAGTGCATGCACAAACTGTTTCAGTGACTGTTTTTGTGTTTCCATCTCTCAGTAATAAGAACTCATTACTCCGATAATTCGAAAGAGTCAAACCTATTTATTTCGAGTGCGCGACAAGGAAATTGTACTACAATTTGATCTATTGAGTCGAAATGGCTAGCAAGAACACGAGAAACAAAAGTTGACAATGTCAATTTAATTTAACATATAAACATTGAATCTTAAGCACCAGAAAAATTATATTACGAACACAATTCACTTTCTTCGCTTTTTGAATGATTTTGAGCCTCATTATTCTCTAAATAGTACGACTTCTCTTCTACGAAATCGAACACCAGCCTGGGTCCTCGGTCCTTTCCAAGGGTTTTTTTCATTTCTTTCAAAACTTTGCTATCGATTTCTTTGTATGATCGTATTTCTGCTAACAGTTTTTTCGTGTTTCGCTCGTCCGTAATAAGACATACTTTGGATATCAGATCTTCTGGAATACAAGCAAGCAGTTCCTTAAAACAGTCTTGCAGGGACACAATTTTTGTCGTCTTTCTTCGGCTCGGCTGTATGCTCACTTCTACCCGTGAGCCACTCGACAAATGCTTTTCAGCAGTCTTAGCTAAAAAAAATCAGTTAAAAAATCAGCTAAACGCTGGCATCGAAACTAAAAGAATCAGTTTTTGAGTGAAAAAAAAATGACGAAGAATAAAAATAGAACTAAAAAAAAATGTATACAATTTAGTAATTTCTGACATTGTTTCATAAGATTCTCCCGTTACTCTTGTTTTCATGTTTTTTTTTAGCTAAGACTAAGAGAAACAAGACAATCTCTCACGGTAAAAAATTTTAAAATTATTCAGAGGCAATTTTTCGTCATTTAATTGAATATAACAAAACGAAGAATGATTTTGAAACAACTCATTTCTTGCTTTTCTATTTTATATGCGTTCTTCCTCATTTGTAAGAAAAAAAACATATATATTCGTATTGATGAATTCGTATCAAAGAAAATACATTCGTATTGATGGAACTCGAAAACTGTTAATAACTGTTCCGACTTTTGAAGAAAGGGTTAAATATATGTGCTCAATCTGTTTTTTTCTTCAGATGAAAAGTTCGTCATTTTAACCAGCCACTCTTAATGTAATCTGGAAGCTGTTCAGTTTATGCTATTGATGACCTGATGTCAAATTTTGAAAACTTTTTTATCTGTGATCAATTTTCGTAATGTTATAGGGGTATGAAAATTGCCAATTTGGGACAATTAAAAAGAGATTTAAGCCGGCTCAGAAATTGTTCCAAAGTACTAAAAATATTTTCAATTTTAGCTTTAAAAATTCAATATGAAGTCTAATAAGATCATTCGTCCAAATAAACATAGCGAAAAGAGTCAATGAAAGCAAAGAAACAAAAAAGCTGACTTGTTTTCTGAAAAAACTTCTAAGTTTAGAGTTTCGAAAATATATATGGCCTTAAAGCTCTTCGAACTTTAGGAACAATTCATGAATGACAATTTTCCGACAAAGTCAAAAAAGTTAACTCAATTTGAAGACTGGAGTGTTAGATAATTTTTGATTCCACTGAAAAATCTAAAAATTGAATTCCACATTCGAAACTAGAAATTGATCACAATTTTCTGCGCCATTTCCCCCTTCGTAATTGATGAGCGAATTTTGCCGGCCTTTTAGCAAATGAACTTGAATGGAACTTTGTAAACTTCATAAGAAATATATACCTAAGTGTACTCATATATCCCTTAAGATGTATGAAAGAACTTTCTCTAGATATTACAGCATTTGATACTTTCAACATTTGAGACTTTGAGACGTGAAAAAAAATTAAAAAACAACCATCTCGACCTATATATGAGTCTGAGCTACGTTCATCGATTCTTATAAACAATTTTTCTCAAAACTGACAAATTTTCCTGGAAGTTTTTCAGATTATACATCTAAATGTTGGAAATAGATAATTCTGTTTCGAAGGAAAAATCTCTTTTTGAAGAAAAAAATAGATATTCTTCAAGCTTTGAGTTTCTAGAACAACTTACAATTGACAATTTTTTGATAAAATTTACCCTATTTAAGAAAATTGCATCAATAGGTAAATTTTTTTTTCGTTGGAAATTTAATTCCATTTTCGGAACTTTTCTGACCTTTACACCTTTGCTGTTCGCGACCTTCACAAGAAAAGCAAAGCCGTAAGGTTTTCGTGACCTTTACACCTTTGCTGTTCGATAGTGTAAATTACATCCCTTTTAACAAAAGCAATTGATTGAAATTAAAAACGAATCAAACTGCGAAAAAGTAATTTTAACCGTGAGAAAATTTCATGACTTCTCTTGAAAAAAAAATCACCGCGACCTACAAAAGAGTCTGAACTACAATCATTGACTCTTAATAATGAATGAAATAGCTTCGAAAAGATATACCAGTCAACTCTATATGAACTATATTGGTGGTAGCTGATAAGTCGTATAAACACAAAAAAGAAAAACTCATCTCAGTATCTATCCCCTTTGTGCAAAAGGACATTCGTAACAAGGCACAAAGTTCACTATGCTTAAACATCGATTATTTCTTTACAGGGGTGGCTAACTCGCTACTATGTGCCAAAGGGGAAAATAATTCAAGAAAGCCGAAAACTAAAACGCGTCAAAAAACAAGTTTTCGCGTTGGATGTCTTTTTAATTGATACAATATGTTGACATTGAATCCTGTAGATACTCCGCGTTGATGTGTCTTTCAAAGCTTTCGGTGAAAAAGTAATCAATACGATAGAATAGTTAAGCAAGCATAGGTAAGATTGGATCAACTGTTGTTTAAAGAAAAATCAACAATACGCACTGCTCTGATCCATGTTCCCCAAGAAACTAAAAAGCAATTAATGCGTTGAGTAACAATTTCAGCGTTGAAGCTCTATTTTTGATATCAAGTTTGACAAGCTTAATCTTATACATTCCATACCAGTACCTTCCATCAAACCATGCAAGAAATGGCAATTGAACTGACAAAAATACAAAAAAAAAACATATAAACGTTTTCTGATGATTATATATAATTATTTACTTTCAATTTGAAATTCGAAAATTTTATTCCCTTCATACATCCTACTGCTACAAAACAGAACAACACAGAAATAGAGAAAAGAAAGAAAAATAAATTTATTTGAATAAATATGAAAGATATGCTAACAATATCTAAATTTTATCAGGCAAAATTAAATTTATATATATCAACAGATATACAAAGGAAGATAGACAAAAAGCAAAATGAATGCCCACTGCATAATTTGCCTAAGCAACTTCAGTTCCCACTGAGAGTCGACCCAAAACTTTACTTAACGAAATGAATGGATAAAGTAATAATTATTCTGTATTAGAAAAATTTCAAAGAATTAACTTCTTATCAATAGTATAAAAAATTTTATACTTGAAAAATTCAAGTTAATTTGCCTTATTTCAGTTAACGTATTTTCATATTCTTAAATAGCACGAGGCCGATGCCCCTCTTCACTTCAGAAAATTATAAGAAAACCTGAAGTTTTGAAAAAATGTTCAAAATCATAAAATCGTCGAATCAGGAACACCAACAACATTTGAGGTCTCATCATTCTGGGCTTGATTCCCAACTTATAAATGGGGTCTGATAGCATCCAACCATTTATACTAAAAATTTAATACACGGCAAGAGAAAACTAGTTTTCAACAATAAAGAGGGTAAGTACAAAATTTCGCATACTTTAATAGTTTTTTCAATTTTTAACCAAAATTCGGTAGAAGCAAGTCTTTATAACCCGAAAAGTTTGAAAAGTTTAAGCCCCTAATTTGTATTGAATGGGACTTTTGCTTCATTCCACAGAAAACTTTCCACAAACAAAGCAGGCAACAGAGGTCATGCAATTTCCAATGCTACAGTGAATATTCCAAGTGAACACTTTTGAAAGATACTTTTTATTTGCGAGTTAGGTTTAAAAAAGAAGGCTCGTAATATTACACTAAGCTGATCGCCGGTGTAAATAGCATTACAGTAGGTTCATAATATAGATTTAGGTTAAAATGACGCATTTTTGAGACAACACCACAGTGACTACCTAACTTGGATACGATTTTATCAAGCTGCTCGGAAAAAATCAGTTCACTATGAACAATTAAGCCAAAGTATTTGCATGCGTCTTTTGGTTCAACCTCCAACATGTACACTTAAGTTGTTAGAAGCACCTTTATTTCTCCTAAAGCTTACAATATTAGTCTTACCTTAGTCTTCTGGTGAGTTTTTTCTAAGGCAACCATATGCTTATATACGTTTCATTTTGAAATAAAATCACACATGGGTTTTTAGATACTACGTTTGTATTCTCAACAGAAAGAAAGACATCAGAGACCTTTGACACTTGAGGCATGTCGGTTATGCATATCAGAAATAGGAGGGAACCCAGAACAGACCCTTCAGGAACCTCCAGAGATCTTTTTCCAAATTAGATAACACTTTGTTAATCATAACACATTGACTCGTGCCAGGATAATAGCTGGAAAACCAATAAAGAAAATGCCTCTAACACTATATAGTTCAAGTTTATTTAAGAGAAGCGCGTGATCAACTGAATCAAATGCTTTCTTCAGCTCTATATAAAAAAGATGAATCGAATGTCTTTGTTACTACTGAATCTGATTTTCTTCAAAGCTTTTCGCTAAGGCATCGACGGTCGCGAACTTTGTTCGGAAAACAATTTGCTTTATGTCAGCAGTTAAAATTTGTCAAACTGATAATTTAAGCGAAAATGCATAATCTTTTTTAAAAATTTGCTGCAGCTTTGGCCTGACATTGTTTGGATCTAATCTGCCTACGGATTTCTGAAAAAAATATTAGCGCCTTTTTCGGAGTTTTAGAAGATTACCGGTTACATAGCAACAGACGGTCAGTAAACTAATGGAAATAGTCCAAAAAGCAATCAAACACATCTAAAAACTCGAAAAAATCCAAAAACAAATAGACCTAACCGCTTTGAAGAAAAACGGCATTGGGATTAACGACACATTCTTACAATCAAGTCTTAAATATATTATCTCCATTGACGCATCTTCAAAGTATGGAAAATTTCAGCAATATGGGACTTTGCTAAAACACGAGAAAAAGTTAAGCGTCAATTTTCCTTTGCTTTTGCAAATGGTATCATTTGTGTTTAAAAAAATAGCAGACGGCCAGTGATAGAGCCCCCGGTACCAGGTATTTTACTTCCCTTATCGAGCAACCCACCATTAAATTAAAAACGTTGATCCAACCCTGTGGCATGCCTAAGAAAACTTCAGACAAAATTCATTGACAAATGATTGAAAGAGCATACCTTTTAGTCGAAGATGCGTTTCGTCGATTGTACTGTTTAGTCGAATCTGAGTTGTCCTTGACTTGTCATACTCATGATACCCACTGTCATTGATTACTTGTTTCTGGGCTTTTTCCAGAGCTTTCAAACCACTTCGGGTAATCAGACGACAAGTGGGAACATCTTTTTGAGGTTGGAACAAATCAACTAAAAGCTAAAACACAAGCTCAGTCATTTTACAAACGTTCTTATTGCTGTTTGTCATCCAGAGTCGAAAAATGGAAAGTTTAAAAACCAAATGTCTTGAAAAACTTTGATCTTAGTATATACAGAAAAAAACGGTGCTGCTCTGCAAGTATCAAATCTTCTGACCACAATCCCGAGCAAACAAATTTTCATATTTTTCTCTAATTTTTGAAAAATTCTGTGATTCGTAGAAGATGTTTGGAAGGCTCTGATCTTTGAAAGTCTAAGCAAATCAAATTCTATAAGTTCTCCACATTTCTGACTGAGTTATTTTTGCGTCTAGAACTTTCACGTGGTACCACAATAGTAGCTCAATTCAGTCAAGCTGTGGAAGACCTGAAGCTAGATTTCAAGAAGGATCTCGCCCTCACTCACCATCATTTCCATTGCGGGGGATCGAAAGTAATCGTTAGCAGATTAAATACGGTATAAACAATTATTTAAAATGTTTAAAACACTTTCAATACGATAAGATAAAAACAAATTCATACACTACTCCCTATAAATGACGATTTTTTAATGACGCCTGAAAGGGCCGTCATAAGATACTTGGTTCGACTTGTACCCAGACACAAATTTGCTCACCATTTTCTGTGCTCGGAAACAGAATGCAACAACATAACCAACTTGAAAGAAACTTGACAGAACAAGAAAGTAATTTCCCAAAAAAAAACGCTCAACGACATTTTCAAAACAAAAAATGCTAAGCAGGTTTTAAATCATATCTTATTTTTAATCACTAAAACATTATTTGAAACAAACAAAACTTGAATTTTCAAACGCGTTTTTCTCAAATTGGGTTAAGATTAGACAAAAAGTGAAGAGGACAAAAGTTGCTTAGAATTTCACCAGAATTAATATGGTGCCATTTTTTCTTCGAAATTCTCAACCAAAATTTTACCCCAAAAATGGGTCATTTTGGCTTTTTTCAATTAATCAAGAATTACGCTGAAACTACTTTGTTAATTGATATGAAAATTATATCACAGGAAGCCTCTTATGCAGTTCAACAAAGTTTAAGAAGGTTTAAATTTCCAAAAATTGGCGCAAATTGTTTAAAATTTATTTTTAAACAGAGATTCTGGGTTTAATATAGTAAAAATCACATTTATTGACTATCAAGTGAAACTTTTTTCATTTAAACTGGTTTTTGGAGATTTAACCCTTCTTAAACTTTGTGGAACTGCGTAAGAGGGTTCCTGTGATACAATTTTCATATCAATTAACCAAGTGGTTTCAGCGTAATTCTTGATTAATTGAAAAAAGCCAAAATTACCCATTTTTGGGGTAAAATTTTTGTTGAATTTCGGAGAAAAAATGGCACCATATTAATTCTGGTGAAATTCTAAGCAACTTTTGTCTTGATCATTTTTTGTCTAATCCTAACCCAATTTGAGAAAAACGTGTTTGAAAATTCAAGTTTTGTTCGTTTTGTCCGGATAATTTAAATCAGCACTGTATTTTGGCACGCATTTTGTCCAAGTCAAAGGAAATGACAATGAAGTGAATGCCAAAAAGATAAATTCTAAAAGGCTGACAAAAAATGAGCCGAGTCAAAGTGCTACAAAACTGAAAAACCTGCATCTACCAAAATTATCGTTTCAGAATTGGTCTCGAAGAAAACACAAAAACATGACGAGATGAATAATTGCTAGCTTTATCAGAAGAGCAAAAAACGATATTTAAAAAGCGGTAACTCGGCCATCAAAACCTCAGTCGAAGTTTTATAACTCCCATTTAGTAAAACTACTTTTTTTTGCCCAAATAACGCAAGATATGGATACTAAGCCCGAAGATCATAGAATGAATTACCACTAAAGGAAAATAGCCCACAGACAGTTTGAAACAAAAAATACTGGATTGGTTTTTTGAAAAAATCTTTAATTTCTCTTTCAATGAAAAAATAAATCGCCTCTTTGAATTTCTAGAACAATTTAAGATTGACACTTCTCAAATAAAATTAGTCCAATTTGAGAAAACTGGATCAATGAAAATACTTATATGTTGCTGGGAAATCTGGAAAATCAAAATACTTTGGAAACTAGAACTTGATCACGTTGAAAACTCGGCGGTAGCTGGAAAGCGACTGTATCATACAAAAACAGAATTAATGATGATTTAGTTACCACAAATTGGAAAGAAATGAACAAATTAGGGAAAATGAACCTGGATTTTTAATTTAGTTTACATGTGAACAAATTAATCTCATCATGTAAAACGTGCTGTTTACTTCAATATTTCCGCCTCTGTTGATCTCTGATCAATCTTTTGACATTCCAAATGGAGATTAAAATTGGTTCTAGCAAAAAAAGGACGTATGTAGTGAAATCGAAGGGTCTGATTGCGGGCAAGGTGGAGGTTCGGGAGAAGGTGACACAGGAGAAAGTGAACAGGGAGTGTCATGTGGCCCTCAGGCGGCTGGAGTTGGTGGATGCAGCCCCTGATCCTGCGGGGGGGGGAAGGATAAGTTTGAGAAAAAGATGAGTAAGAGGAGCTGCATGACTGACCATTCTTCTGAATTTTGTTTGTGATCTTTTTGTTTGTGATCTTTTTGTTTAGCTAATTCATGGCAACTTCGTTCGTGTACTCTGCATCCCATTCACTGTTTTAGATTGCACTGTCCTTATTAGACTATCGTTTCTGGCATACACGTTCTCCAATGTTTTGAATGGCCATGATTAAGTGTGGTTATCATAATCGGTTATGTATACAAGATTTCCAATTTTCAGGTTATATCTTTCTATTAAGAGGTTCTTATTAAGTTATTGCATAGCAGCCAAATACTCAAAGACCTATTTTCCAAAAATCTGTAATCAATTTGCGCAAGGAAAAAGAAGCATTTTTCAGCTTCATTAAAACCATCGATAGTGGAATAAGCTGGAATGGGCAATCATCGGCACAGTGTCTTTAGCAACATCCGACACTGATGTGATCGGTCTCGATTTGGTATAGCTTTTATCGGAAAAAGCACTGTGCACATCTCATCTAGTTCAGGTTTTTCTCCACTGCCTATTGTCTTGTGACATAGCTATTTCATTGATTTAACATCAGCTTTCGATATAGCTCCTAAACTTAAACGATCTTGCAGTCGTAATAGGCTAAGGGAAACCAAATACTCGAACATGATCAACGAGACTGCCTATCATGTGCTGGTCTTTTTGTATTCTCTTCACTTCAATTTGCTCGTTTAGTGATCCGACGAAGTTTGTTTTCTTATGGGAGAAGATCTGCTTGGGATATCATGGTCGAGCCATGAAATTTCTAAAAAATTTCAAGCGTTCTTAGAGGTCCAAAGGTTTTGAATCGTCCAGGTCGATTGTTGTCTACTTCTAAAGCTTTTATTGTTCTGACAGGGTTAGACATTCGGAAAGTGCGTAAGCGATGATATATCTGGATAGCTCGACAAATTCCAGCATTCAGTTGAAGGCTTTCTGAATAGTATTCAAGCTATTGAAAGGAAGATGAAACGTTTTTCCATGTCATTCGATCAAAGCAGTCTGTGGGTTTTAGGCTCAAAGTATTCAATTCTCATTTAACACAATCAATTCAGCGATAGATAGGTCTTCCTGTTGGTTTTTTCCCTAAATCCAACAGGATGCTTTTAGTATTTTGACGGTATTAGACCTTTGGAAAGTGCGTTAACGATGGTATCTATGGATAGCGCAACAAATTCCAGCGTTCAGGTGACGGCTTTCTGAATAGTGTTCAAGCTATTTTATGAAAGATGTGTATTTTTTCCGTGTCGTTCGATGAAGGCAGTCTGTGGGTTTCGGGCTCAGAGTATTCAATTCTCGTTTAAATCAATCGATTTAGCGTTAAATAGTTCTTCCTGTTGATATTTTCCCCAATACCAACAGGATGCTTTGATTAGTTTGACGGGGTTAGACATTCGGAAAGTGCGTAAACGATGGTATCTCTGGATAGAGCAACAAATTCAAGCATTCAGGTGACGGCTTTCGGAAAAGTACTCAAGTTATTTAATGTAAGATGTGTTTTTCCACCTCATTCGATCACGGCAGTCGGTAGATTTTGGGCTCATAGTAAAAATTTCTTGTTTCTCACAATCAATTCAGCGTTCTGTACGTCTTCCTGTTGGTCATTTCCCTGAGCCTGAAACACGGTCTGCTGACTTTAGTGCATGGTCATTTTCTCTTCAGTGAACATGGCCCAACCATCGCAGCCGTGACATTTGTTTCTTGTCCAGACCAAAAAGACCTGTCATTCTAATTACTGCTTCGTTGGTAACTCTTTCTCTATAAGTACCTCCGGTAAAACTATGCAGAGCTTCCTATCGGCAATCTTAAAAGCGCTATATATGGCCTTGGTCTGCGCCCATGTTTCACAGCAGTACATGAAAACTGGCCGTAGACCAGCTCCGTAGATATGACACTTTCTAACTTTCTGTACTCTGCATCCCATTCACTGTTTTAGATTGCACTGTCCTTATTAGACTATCGTTTCTGGCATACACGTTCTCCAATGTTTTGAATGGCCATGATTAAGTGTGGTTATCATAATCGGTTATGTATACAAGATTTCCAATTTTCAGGTTATATCTTTCTATTAAGAGGTTCTTATTAAGTTATTGCATAGCAGCCAAATACTCAAAGACCTATTTTCCAAAAATCTGTAATCAATTTGCGCAAGGAAAAAGAAGCATTTTTCAGCTTCATTAAAACCATCGATAGTGGAATAAGCTGGAATGGGCAATCATCGGCACAGTGTCTTTAGCAACATCCGACACTGATGTGATCGGTCTCGATTTGGTATAGCTTTTATCGGAAAAAGCACTGTGCACATCTCATCTAGTTCAGGTTTTTCTCCACTGCCTATTGTCTTGTGACATAGCTATTTCATTGATTTAACATCAGCTTTCGATATAGCTCCTAAACTTAAACGATCTTGCAGTCGTAATAGGCTAAGGGAAACCAAATACTCGAACATGATCAACGAGACTGCCTATCATGT